AAGTCAGAAAAATCCCCTAGTGTTTTTTCTTTTTCTCCTTTTTCTCCATTCTCTCACATCCCAGCTCCCAGGCAATCTTGAAGCAGTGGCTATGGTGGCAGCAAAAGCGGAAAACTGCAAGAGCCAAATATCTGAGGGAGAGGGACTCCATGAAGGAAGGGACAAAAAATGTTTTCTAATTCTCTCTGTCCTACGACCCCTCAGAACCTTGACTTATCTCAATCACAGAAGTGAGTGGGGTTTTTGGCAGAGTAAAGAGAACGGGAGTCCCAAGAAACTGGAAAATAGAGAGAGAGCAGAGATAGAGAAGCTCAGGAAAGCTGTTTATGAACACCTGGGCTCACCCCTACCTGTGCAGGGGTGGGTCTGTTCTTGGTGAGCATACTGAAGACTTTGATTACTAAGCCAGGGGAGAACCAACGCCCAGGTCCCAGGCTGACCACTGGGTGGTGCACATGCAGGACGGGCCTGAATAGCGGCACAAAGCTGTGGAAACCGAGCTGACGCTGGGACCACAGTCCAGAGGAGAGGCCTGGAACTTGTAGCTTAAACTTAACCAGGTTAAGTGCCTGCTAAAACACAAATATTAACATTCTCCATAAAATTTAACAAGACCCAGAGTCAAAGTAATAGTCAAAATGTCCAGGACACAATCCAAAATTAGTTGGCACAGGAAGAACCATGGAAATCGCAAGTTGCATGAGAAAAGACAATCAACAGACACCAATGATGAGATGGCACAGATGTTGGAATTATCTGACAAAGACTTTAAAGTGGCTATTATAAAAATGCTTGAATGAGTAATCATAAACACTCTTTAAACAAAAATTAAAATAGCATCAGCCAAGAAACAGAAGATATAGAGAAAAGCCAAATGGCAACTTCAGATCTGCAAAATACAATAACTGAAATAAAAATTCCCAATGGAAGGACTCAATATTAGAATGGAGATGATAGAGGAAAGATTCAGTGAACTTGAAGATAGACCAATAGAAATGACTCATTCTGAAGAACAGAAAAAAAAAAAGATTTAAAAGAACCAAACAGAACCTCAGGGACCAGTGGGACAACATCCAAAGGTCTAATATTTGTGTTATTAGAGTCTTAGAAGGAGAAGGGAATGACTGCAGTGCTGAAAAAAATATTAGAAGTAATAATGGCAGAAAACTGTCCAAGTGCGGCAAAAGATATAAAAAGGCAGACTTAAGAAGCTGTACAAACCTGAACAGAATAAACCCCCTAAAATCCATGCCAAGACAAATCATAATCAAAGTTCTGAAAATGAAAGACAAATATCTTTAAAGCAGCCACAGAAAAATGATGCAATATCTAGAGGAGAACAATGATTCATATGTCTGTGGATTTTTCATCAGAAACCATGGGGGCCAGAATGAAGTGGCCTGTTTTCCAAGGGCTGAAAGAAAAGAGCTGTCAATCCAGAATTCTATATCCAACGAAAATTGTTTTAGGCATAAAGGTGAAATAAAACCATTCTCAAATGAAGGAAAAATAAGAGAATTCATAGCCAGAATTGCTAATGCCAGAATTGCCAGAATTGCTAATGGTTGTTCTTCAGTTAGAAGGGAAACGATAGCAGAAAGAAACTTGGAATATCAGGAATGAAGGAAGAGTGCCAGAAATGCTAAATATCTGGCTAAGTATAATAGGCTATTCTTCCACTCTTGAGTTCTATAAAACATGTTTGATGGTTGATAGCAAAAAGTGTAAGATCGCCTGATGGTTTTTTTCAATGTAATGTATGTATAGACAACTAACATAAAAGGAGGAAGATAAGGGAACCTATATGGTGCTAATGTTTCTATATTTCAATTGAAATGATAAAATATTGATTCTAAATGGACTGTGAAAAGTATGTGTTTTGTAATTGCTAGAGCAAACACTAAAAAACTACACAGAGATATAGACCAAATCACAATACGTAAATTAAAATAGAATACTAAAATAATGTTCAAAGAACCCAAAGGAAGGCAGGAAAGAGGAAACAGGACAATAACAAACACACCAATAATGAAATTAAATGCAAAGGGTCTAAACACACCAAATAAAATACAGAGATTGTCAGAATGGACTTAAAAAGTATGCACCGTACAATTTATACAACTATACACTTTAGACAAGAGACTCACTTAAAATACAATGATATAGGCAGCTTAAGAGTAAAAGGATGGAGAAAGATATACTATGAAAACACTAATCAAAGGAAAGCGGTTACATTCATATCACACAAAGTAGACTTCAGAGCAAAAGAAAACTACCAGGGATAAAGAGAACATTATGTATTGATAAAAGGGTCAATTCACCAAGAAGATACAATAATCCTAAATGTGTATGAACCAAACAACTGAGCGTCAAATTACACAAAGCGAAAACTGGCCAGACTGAAAGGAGAAATGGACAAATCCACAAGTATAGCTGGGGAGTCAATACCCCTCTCTGAGTAATTGACAGAATAGCTACACACAAAATCAGCAAAGATGTAGCAGAACCGAATGATGCAATCAACCAACAAGATCTAATTGACATATATAGAACATTCCACGCAACAACACCAGAATACACTTGGTTTCAAGTGCTCATGGACTGTTCACCAAGACAGACCATAACCTGGGTCATAAATCAAAATTTAACAAATTTAAAAGAACTTAAAGCATACAAAATACTTTCTCTGAACATAAAGGAATTAAACTAGAAATTAGTAATAGAAGGATAACAATAAAATTTGCCAACACTTAGAAATTAAACAACACACCTCTAAATAACCTATGAGTCAAAGAGAAATTAGAAAATGCATTGAACTGGACAAAAGTGAAAATAAAACATAATAAAATGTGTGGCTTACATTTAAAGCAGGGCTTAGCGGGAATTTTATAGCATTAAACACACATTAGAAAAGAAGAGGGCCGGCCCCGTGGCTTAGCGGTTAAGTGTGCATGCTCTGCTACTGGCGACCCGGGTTCGGATCCCGGGCGCGCACCGACGCACAACTTCTCCGGCCATGCTCAGGCTGCGTCCCATGTACAGCAACTAGAAGGATGTGCAACTATGGCATACAACTATCTACTGGGGCTTTGGGGGAAAAAATAAATTTAAAAAATTAAAAAAAAAAAGAAGGAAAAGAAGAAAAGTTTCATATCCATAATCTAAACTTCTACCTCAAGAAACTAGGAGAAGAGCAAAATAAGCCCAAATCAAGCAGAAAGAAGGAAATAACAAAGATAAGAGCAGAAATCAACACAAAAACAGAAAACCAATAAAGAAAATTTAGTGAAACTAAAAGTTGGTTCTTTGACATGATAAATAAAATTGATAACTCTCTGGCACAACTGACAAAGAAAAAAAGAGAGAAGGCACAAATCAATATCAAGAATGGAAGAGTGGAGATCACCACAAATCCTGTAGACATTAAAAGGAAAATGGGGAATACTCTTAATAGCTTTATGAACATAAATTTAACCCAAATTCTTATGTTTGTACATTTCATCCTTCTTACTCCAAACCCAAAACTTCCTTGCTATACCCTTTCTAGGTTCTTAGTCATCTGTGTCCTCTATTAAGCATGCAATTTCCTCAAACTGACCTATGTTATTCTCAAATCTACTGCAGCAGCACAGCACACCTTTCCTCAGTATGTTTCAAAATTACTACTTTCTGCTTCCCAAATCCTATCAAAATTCTCATTCCTAGAATGCACCTCAGCTGCACGTTAGAAGAACAAAGTCACTATGTACTCAATAGTTAATATGCAGTTTGTTATATCATTGGACCAATGAAGTTTTAAAGCAAAATCACACAAAAAATAGCATAAGTCCATATGCTTTATTTTAAATCCTTGGGGCCAAATGTGTTTTGGAATTCAGAATGTTTCATATTTTAGACAGATAATTTAGAAATTACACATAGAACATATTAGTAACACCCCAGGGGGGCTGAAATAACACTCTCTAATGAAACACATTAATATTTCTGCAGCAAAATGAAAATGCAAAATTCATGCGTGAATATTCCCACTTAGTGAGATAAATGTTGACTATAGCCTCATTTAGTTCAGGTAAAGATGCGCAGCCAAAAGAGTTTGTTGCAAACCTAACAAAAAAAACTTGTTTTCCAGAGCTTTTTGAATTTTAAAATTGCAGATAATTCATTGGGGACCCATATTCCCACTTTCAATCTATTAGCAACTCCTATCAATTCTATCTGCATACCCATCTCTCAAATCTCTTTATTTCAATCTACTGCCACAGTTCTAGCATTCTAGACCAGGCCACTCTAGATCTCTTGCCTGGACGACTTAAAAAGACTTCTGTGTCTTATTTCCCTATTATCCATCTTCCACATTCCTCCCAGGCTAATGTTTCAAAAATGTAACAGCGATCGTGTTATAGCTTTGGCTCCCCACTCCTTATAAGATAAAGCCCAAACTCCTATACAAGTTCCTGCAAGATCTAGTCTCTGTTCAATGCTCTAGCTTTATCTCTTGTTGTACCATCATACATTATGCTATAGCCATGTTAAACTACTTACAATTCCCTGAAAAGCCCACGGAGTTTCCTGCCTTTGCTCACACTGCTCCCTCTGCTTGGCATGAGCCATTTGCCAACCAGTGACTGGCAATTCACCTCATCTCCTTTTACCTCACGCTCAGATCCTTTATAAAATTCATAGCACACCCTCTAAAGTACTCCACCTCAGCAATTATAATATTCAATGCCTCTATTTGATGACACGCCTATCTACTCTTACAGCTCCTGTGTCTTCATCTTTCAGCATAGTGCCTGATACCTAATAGGTGCTCAATAAATGTGGAGCAAAATAGTAGAATAGTTAGCCTAACAGGTCTATAAGAAATCTTAGCACAATACATTAAAAATTATTAAAAATAAAACATTTCTTGCTCTATCTACTTCCTCATTACAAATTTCTATGTTATATGTATATATCAAAAAAGTTTTTAAAAGTAAGGTATGCGTCACAAATGTTACCATGTGGGGAACAGGAGGAATAGAAATGGGATTCCAGAGGGTTGATGTGCAGGTGCAGGTATTAAGCTGCCAGTTCATTCCACCAGTAATTTCCATCTCTGAAGGTTGACGCCACTTCGTGTCAGATCTAAAATGGGATTTATAAATCAGCTCGTTTTGGGGGTGACAAATCTACCATCTAAACATCTAGTCAGGATACAGCCTTTAATACAATGTTTATGCTTATCAACAGGTAAGAGATAATAGGAAGGAATCACAAAAGAAAGCCCCCCCAAAAAGACCACTGGCTATTTTCTATACGAAATTAAGTTATTATAAAAGTAAATGTTTCAGCTTAGTTTTGATAGATAATGCCTAATTTAAATTCCCCACTAACAGAGTTTGAAAGATCATGGAAAAAATTCAATAGTAGCAGTTTCTCATAAATAAAGTGACTTGAATGAATACATTTTATCCTAAACTATTTTAATAGTTTATCTAAAGAAAAAAACTAGTATTCCCCATGGGGGTGGGTCAAGAGGGCTCTAGGGTAGGAGGCAGAAGTATTGAAATCTGAGCCCCACCAGGCTATTCACTAGCTGTGTAACCTTGATGAGAAAACTGTCTCAGAGAAGACAAATATCTTGCTCAAGGTCTGCAGTTAATTAATGGCAGGACTAGGAGTCTATACTCCCTGCCAGTGGTTAAGATTATTACCTTTATCTTCTACATCTATTTCGACTCCTCCACCAAACCATGTAATACTCTATTCTGCAGATACTTTAGTGTTAATTCTAAGATATGGTTCTTGTCTCTAAAAGCTCATATTTATTTATTTATTTATTTATTTTTTAAAATCTTTTTATTTTTTTTTTAATTTTTTATTTATTGCAGTAACATTGGTTTATAACATTGTAGAAATTTCAGGTGTACATCATTATACTTCTATTTCTGCATAGATGACATCATGTTCACCACCCAAATACTAATTCCAACCATCACCACACACATGTGCCGAATTATCCCTTTCGCCCTCCCCCCTCCCCCCTTCCCCTCTGGTAACCACCAATCCAATCTCTGTCTCTATGTGTTTGTTTAAGGTCAAATACCATATGATTTCCTTCATTAAGTAGTAGATAATAAAAGCTCATATTTATTTTGTATTCATCATTTGACTTAACTAAATTTAGGTTTTATCTAGGTGATACAGAGTTTAAAAAGTCAAATACTGCTAAAAGATCTAAAACCAAAAACAGCAGTCACCACCTCCCCTTCCCCAAAGTAGCCACTCTTTCTCATGGTATTTAATTCTATAATCTCAAAGATATTTATACTACTATATCTGAATTTATAAATTTCAGACATTATTGATTTCCTTTGGAAAATTTTGTACTCTCATACCATACCCTACTTCCCTCCCACCTCCCCTCATCTCTGAAGTATATATTTTTTAAAAAGAATATATATATATATAGTTTTATACTATAGAGGTTAATAGCCCCGACTCTGAGTTCAAATCTCAGTTCAACCATTTAATAACTGTATAAGGTTGGGCAAGTTACAGAATCTCTGTAGCTCAATTTTCTCAGGTGTGAAATGTGGATTCATTCAACAAATATCCATTAAATATCTACTAGGTGCAGGCACTATTCTTGGTGCTTGGAATATATAAAACAGACGAAAATATATACCTTCATGGAGCTTATGATCTAGTGGAAATCATAATTGTCTCAAGTAGAAAGATGAAATGAGTTATTACGTGTAAAATACTTAGAATGAATAATATCTGGCTCAGAGTAAATAAACCGTCATTTTGATTTTTTCTTGGAGACATCTGTCCTGGAGCTCTATATCCTTCTGTTCCAATCTAAACTGACTGCTCTCTAGGCTTGCTGTACTAATGTCACCCTGGGACTTCCACCGTTGTTATACAATCCCGCGTCACTTAATGACGGGGATACTTTCTGAGAAATGCATCGTTAGGCAGTTTCATCGTTGTGTGAACATCATAAAGTGTACTTACACAAACTAGATGGTACAGCCTACTACACACCTAGGATACAATACTAATCTTATGGGACCACTGTTGTATATGCAGTCCATCGTTGACTCAAATGTCATTATGCAGCCCATGACGGTATTGGGAATTCTCTCCACTTCTCACTTAAGTAGGGCTCTGTGTTTTCCTGAACCCCACGGGTTCCTCTTTCTTAGTTTACTTCTCTGTTTTGCTGGAGCACACCTAATAGGAGCTTCCTGAGCAAAGGTGCATGGTAGGTAATTTTTTTAGATTTTGGGTGTCTGAAAATGTCTATTTATCTCTTGCATTTGGTTGAAAGCTTGTCTGAGTACAGAATTCTAGATTGGAAATAAATTTCACTATGAATTTTTTTTTTTTTGAGGAAGATCGGCCCTGAGCTAACATCCGTGCTAATCCTCCTCTTTTTGCTGAGGAAGACCCGCTCTGAGCTAAGATCTATTGCCAATCCTCCTCCTTCTTTCCCCCACCAAAGCCCCAGTAGATAGTTGTATGTCATAGGTGCACAGCCTTCTAGTTGCTGTATGTGGGATGTGGCCTCAGCATGGCCGGAGAAGCGGTGCGTCGGTGCGCGCCCGGGATCCGAACCCGGGCCGCCAGTAGCGGAGCACGCGCACTTAACCGCTAAGCCACGGGGCCGGCCCCCACTATGAATTTTTAACAGGTTGAAGTATTGTCTTCTGGCTTTCAGTGTCATTATTTAAAGGTCCAATGCTACACTTATTCCTGATCCATTGTTTGTGCTTTGTTTTCCTCAACTCTTGACACTTTAACCTTCTCTATTCAACCTCTACAATATTAGGATGTTTTCAAAGTTCAGTTCTGGACCTACCATTATCCTCTTTATTCTCTACCAAGATTAGTTAATCAAGTCTTAAAGCTTTAACTACCACATTGATGACTTCACAACTTTTTATCTCCAGCCCTAATCTCTGGACTCGTATGTTTACCTGCCTCTTGGATGTCTAATACATATCTCAAACATAACATGTCAAAATAGAACTCTTGTTTCAACTTACCCACTCCAACTATTTCTCCTCCAGTCTTTTCCGTCATGATCCGTGACACCAGCATCCATGCAGTAGCTCAAGCCCGAAACCTAAGCACTACCCCTTGATCCCTCTTTTCCCCTTCACTTCTAACAGCAAGTGCTGTCAACTCTACCTCCAAAATACATCCCAAATGCATCCAATTTTCATCATACCACCTCCACTACTACCATCCCAGACAGGGGGCTTTGTATGGCACACTCTAAGAGAAAAGCAGTATGCACAGGTAGTGGAATTTTTAAATATATTCCTGGACTTTATTTGTGAATATTTTATCTAGAATTCTGACATCTATAATGAATAAGTGAGATTGGTCAGCAGTTTCCTTTCTTTGTTCTATCTTTACTGGGCTTTGATATTAAAGTCATGTGATTTCATACACTGAATTGTAGATCTTCCCTTTTTTCTATAGCCTGGAATTGAAATTTCCTATTCTTTAAGGGTTAGATAAAGCTCATCCATGAACTCGTGATACACTGGTAGATCTTCAATTCCTTTTTCAAAAACTTATGTGGTAATTGGTCTATGCATATTTCTGCCTCTTCTTGGATAAATTTTGTTATTTATATTTTGCTTGGAAATCATCAGTTTCCTCTAGATTTTCAAATATGTTGTTGCCAAACAGTTGCACAAAGTATTCACTTATAATCATTTTAATCTCTCCTGCGTCTGTGGTTATGTCAGCTCTTATTACTCATATTGTACAATTTTACATTCTCTTTTCTGTTTAATCAGAGGAGCTTATTTTATTGGACTTTACAAAGAAATAAGTTTTGGATTTATTTGTTTTTGTTTGCAATTTTACTAGTTTAAGCTCTTATCTTTAAAAATTTTACCTTCGTAATATATTTTTTATTTTATATCTATTTTCTTAAGATAAAAACTAAAATCTTATTAATTTCTCTTCTTTAACAATGATGAAATTTTCCTCTGAGTTTAGTTCTCACAGTGCCCCATTACCTTTGGTATAAAGTTCTCTTTTTCATTACCTTCAGATAGTTGATAACTTTCCTTTTGTGATTTCCTCTTTGGCAAAAAGATTATATTTTTAAATGTATAAGTAGTTAAGATTTTCATGGTCAAATTTTTATTAATTAGTTCTAATTTTATTGGATTATGAACGAATGTAGTCTGTAAAATTCTTTAGTTTTTTTGTTAAGGTTTTCTTTGTGATTGCTCTGAAGAAAATGAACATTCTGTGTGTGTACACAGGTTTATTTACTTTTTATTTATTTATTTATTTATTTATCATTTATTTATTATGTATTATTCAAATTCTTCTATGTTCTTACTTATGTTTTATCTATTAGATCTGTCCAATAATGAAAGAGGTGGTTTGAAATCGCCCATTATAATTGTATTTTTCTCAAGTTCTCTGTGTATTTCTAATATTTTTTGCTTTATGCCTGTAGCTTTGTGCATACACAAAGACAGTTATAGCTCCATAAACAGTGCCTTTTATCATTATATGGTATCCCTCCTTATTCTGTTTAGTGCTTTTAACCTTACATTCCACATTATTTGTTGTTAATATTATCACTTTTGCCTTCCTTTGGTTTCCTTTTGCCTATTTTTTTTTTTTTTTGGTTGAAAATGTAGGGATTCACTCACTGAAGTAACACTGATTATCTTATGATGCTGAGGAGCTCCAACTGGTAGTTTTATTGTCTTTGTTTAATAAAATAAAAAATAAGTATTACTCATTTAACACAGTCAATAAGAATTTAATACAGTCTATATTATAAAGTAAGAAAAGAACCGAGAATACAAAGAACTAGGAGGAATGCCGATATTTAAGACATGTTTAGAAAAAGAAGATCCTTCAGATGAACCATGAAGAGACTGTCAGAGGGGTAGGAGGAGAACTATGTAATACAGTATACTTTAACCAAGAAGTTTACCTACAAAATTGGGATAATATATAACAAATAAATTCTCTACTTTAATTATTTAAATAAAAAAATTCACATATTATAGAGTTTTATAACAAATGATTCTTATATCTAATTTAAAAATAATTATTTTCTAGTTGTTACCCTCATGAGTCCCTTCCTCTAACATTTATTTATTGGTTATCTTTTTTCAATAATAAAAACTTACTTGTTGACTGGGTTTTCTCCACAGTTAATATCTGTTTCATAAAACAAACACAAATTTTACATTATTTTTGTACAAATACTTTTTCTTAAAATGCATTTAAAAATATATATGTATATACATAAAATATTAATTTAAAATAGATGCTTACTTCCTACAAGGCTAGCAAGTGAGCCGTCCAGGTTGTCTGCTATAATTGTTTCACCTTGCTGTCTGGCTCCAACAGGTTTGTGGGCTTGTGAAGGGAATGTTGGTTGTGATATATCATGTAGGGAAAATAATCTGAAAATAAGAGACAGAATTAGATACAAACCTAGACTAAATTTATATCAATACAGCAATGACATATATGTATCTTCCCATTACAAACTAACAGGACCTCAAATTATTAGGTTAATGAGTACAAAGTCATGTTAAATTATTCATGAAATAAATTTTAATTGAGCACTTGTTATATGCTAGACACTATACTAGGAGCTAAAGACACAGCAGTGAATAAAAAAGATAAAAATCCCTGCCTTCATGTAGCTACATTCTATTGGAGACAGAAAATAACCAAGGCAAATAATGTATATAATATGTTTGATGGTAACAAGTGCTAAGGAAAAAATATCCGGGACAGGGGCATGACATGTTGGTGGAGGACGGGATATTTAAATTTTAGACAGGAAAGACTCATCACAGGGACTTTTAAGTAAAGACCTGAAGGATTTGAGAGAGTGAACCATGTGGATCCAGCACAGGGAGCAGCATGAGCAAAGGCCCTGAGGAAGGTGTGTGCTTGGTGTATTTGAAGAACAGTGAGGAGGCCAAGGTGTCTAGATTCAGAGTGATCCAAGGAGACAGAAAGGCAATAGTGGGCCTTCTAAAGAATTGTAAGGACTTTGGCTTTTACTCTGAGGCCACCATCTCAGGCCAACTTCCCTGAGATGGGGAAGCCACTGAAGGGATTTGAACAGAGAGACATGATCTATCTGACTTGTGTTTTAACGAGATCACTCTGACTGTTATGTAAAGAATGGACTGCAGGGGGCAAGGGCAGAAGCAGGGAGGTGGTCAGAAAGATCTTGTAATAGTCCAGGTAAGAGAGATGGGTGGTTAGCACTGGAGGTAGTGAGAAGTGGTCAACGTTTGGATATGTTTTGAAGGTAAAGTCAACAGATTTTCTGATGGATTAGATGTGGGGTATGACAGAAAGAAAGGAGTCAAGGATGACTCCAAGGCTTCTGGGCTGAGCAACTAGAAGAAATGAGTTGCTATCTGCCATTAACTGAGATGAGGAAAACCATGGAAAAAGCAGGTTTGGGGTGGAGTATCAGGAGCTTAGTTTTGGAACCCTATTAGATATTCAAGTGAAACCACTGAATAGACACTTGGATATACAATTCTGGAGTTCAGGAGGAATGGCTGTACCTGGAGACGCTAATTTGGGAGTCCTTATCATGTAAATGGTATTTAAGGCAATGAGCCTGGATGAGCTCATCTAGGAAACAGTAAGTATAGATAAAGAAATGAGGAGGAACCAGTGAAAAAAGTCTAAAAAGGAGCCAAGATTTAGATAAGAATAAAACCAAGAGGCAAACTGAAGTAAGTGTATGAACATGGAGGTCACTGGTGATTTTGACAAAATGATTCTATGCTAGACCATGAAGCAAGTATCAACAAATTCCAAAGGAGTGAAATTATATAGAGAAGGCTCTCTGACATAGTGCAAGTAAGCTAGAATTCAATAACAGAAAAGATAATTAGAGGATCCCCACACGCATGAAATTAAAAAATGCACTTCTAAGTAACACACAGGCCAGGCCCTGTTCTAAGCACTCTACATGTATTGACTCATTTATCCTGGCAGCAACCTTATGAGGATAAGAAAGCTGAGGCACAGAGAGGTTAAGTGATCTGCCCAAAGCCACACAGTTCATGAAGGGTGAAGTGAAATTTGAACCCAAGCACCCTGGTTCCATGGCCAGTATTTTTAAATCACAACAATTTGAGAGAAAAAGTGGTTTTGATCTGTTGGTAATCAGGCCCATGGGCCTTTAAAACAGCGTGGTAGTAGTTCCCCTCCTCCCTCTACTCTCCTTGGGATTCACATTCACATCAGACTGAATCCACAGCTTGTCAACAACCAGGTTTAACGTATTTTGTCACACCTGTTGTAAGCACTAATGATTCCCAAACCATAGGCACTCAGAAAAGTAGTGATTCTTTTAGAAACGAAGCAAGTGTACAGTTTTTGCTATACATATGGTTTTACTCAAAGGACTTTTGTTCATCATAGTTTTGGTCAAACTCACCCATTGAAAATGCAGAAAGTGTGTCCATTTGAGAATATATGTATAAAAGAAAAATAAAAACATTTAAAATAGATACAGTTTAAGTCTTCAAGTTAAATTAACAACAAACTTTAATTCAAATACATATAAACCCCATGAAAATATAGCTCATTACTACCTGGATTTGTGTCTAGAGTAGAGAATCAAGTAACATTGTTGAAACACAATTACCCATTAAAAAACAGAATATGGCTGATTATGAGTAGTCATGTGCCAATAAATGTATAACAACCAGCTCTCCACAAAAAACAAAAGGCCTATTTTGTAGTATCTGCCCATTTCTGCAGTGCAAATACTTCCATCATGGCCAATTTCAAGTTACCACTGTGACATAAACCAGCTTGCAAAATTCCAGAAAATGCAGCAATTAGCTCTTGTGAGCTGTTATGAGCCAGATCTAGCACGTGATTGAAACATGAGGCACATCACCCGTAAGACACGACAAAGGAGTTCCACGTTGGGCATTACAAGGTATCACACTGGATGCATGTAAGTATGTGTTTCTTTGTAAAATTGATCTTTAATTAGTAATTATTTGCATGTACAAAATTCAAAAGTTACAAAACGGTATACAGTGAAGACTCTCCTACCCATCCTTTTCCATGAACAACCAAGTTCTTCCTGGAGGCAGCACGTTTTATTCATTTCTTGTATATCCTTCCAGAAGTATTCTTTAAGAAATTACATAAACATATGTATTCTTTTTTTTTCTGTTTTTAAAAACAAAGATGGTAGCATACCATACTTTGTTTCATACCTTGTTCATTTTCCATTTAACAATACATCTGGGAGACCATTCCACTTCAGTACATAAAAACAAGCCCCTTATTGATAGTCATTTTGCGATTACAATGTTGCAATGGATAGCCTTGTTCAAACATCATTTCACAACTGTGAATATAAATGTTGAATAAATTCCTAGAAATGAAATTGCTAGGTCAAAGACTGCTTCAGGAAGAGGCAGCAGATGTAGCAGGTGGTTAAGCAGTAGAAGAATGAAAAATTCTAATTCTGTCCTCGATTATTACTGACATAATCTTATAATAGAGTTCTATTACCTGCAAACCAAGGTCTGCTTGCTGAAGCTTTCACAACTGGACTGTTTGGGATGGAGGGAATCAATGCATGCTGGAGACTTAAGAGATCACAAGAAAGATGAGGCACACTGGAGAATAAACAGATTGAAATATATCCTACCCAGCTGAGCCTACATTTCTTTAATTCATTCATCTATGAATCCATCCATCCAACTATATACTATCTGTGATAAAGATATAATTAAGAAATACTCAACAGACTTGTTGTCTAATAGAGGGTGATACTATAAATCAATTAACAATCAATATAACCTAAAAAAGTGGAATGAATGAATAATGCATGACCCTTCTAGAAATTTTGGACAATACTGAAAAGTATGAAAAAGAAAATTGAAATCAACCATAATTTTTCCACTCAGAAATAGCTAATGTGAACATTTTGAAGTGATATACCTCAAAATTTGTATTATTCAATTTGTCTGTATATGCATATATAGAGGAGTGCATGTATGTGTATATATCTGTGTGTATACCCACAGACACATATATGTCTTGAATGTTACTATGCACACTATTTTGTTGATGAACAGTTTGCATACCATTAAATAATCATCTGTAACAGTTATTCTCACTAGAGGAGCCCCTAAGGGAAGAAATCAAATTCTTCAAAAGCGGGGGTTATTCGAATCCCAACCTCTGACTTTGAGAATCACTCACTGTAATAAAAGACATTCCTTTGCGAAGCATATCACCCTGGTGAAGGGTATGGAATCCCACAAAAAAAAAAAAAGACTGAAAAATGCTATTCCATATTATCATTAAAAATCACTGCATAGCATTGCATCATATTCAAAGCCCATAAATTATTTAGTCACTCTTATGTTGTTGAAATGAGGGAAATTATTTAGAGGGAAACAAAATTAACCTATATGAAGACATTGATTAAGTTACCTATGAGGAGGTAAAATGTCATTTTTCTCTTCCAAAGAAGCTAAATGCTGTTTTAGCGCTTCAAGTAAGCTGTGGGGTGCCTAAAAAATAAAGTTATTATGAAAGAGTTATTTTCTGATATTCTTAGTAAATTCATACTCTCCTACATCATATAAAGGTTTTAAACAAAAATTAAGATGCCTGTATAGCAAATGCTTTAAACCTAAATAATGGCTATGAGTAAATTCATTATTAAAAGTAGCATCTTGGTATCAAATCAGATTTTCAAACTATGCTTTTATGTACACTTTTTTAAAACAACAACAAAAAAAGCCTCTTAGAATGATCAAAGGACTGCTAAAATATCTACTCCCTTTGGAGAAGATAATGGACTTGAAATCATTCATTATTTGTGGTTCCTTTGTGAGTCACCAGACCACTAAATAAATTTAAGTAAAACACATTAAGCCTAGTGGAGAAGAGAGAGAGGGGAGAGAAGGAAACAGGGAGAAAAAAAGAAAAAAAGGGACAGAGAATTTCCCTCATTAGCAAATTCAATCATGGTTTCTGGTCTCTGCTAAAACGTCACCTCCTCAATGGGGATTTCCTCGACTACTCTATATAAAATAGTATCTACCAATAGTCTCTTTACCTTCACTATGTTTTATTTTTCTTTGCAGTATTTATCTTCACTGAAATTATAGGTTACTTTCTCTGTATGTTTATTCTCTGTCTCCATGAAGACAGGTGTTCTGTCAGTTTTGTTCACTAAGGAATCTTAAATGCTTGGCACATGGTAAGTGCTTAATATTTCCTGAATGAATGTGGATGCATCTTTTCATTCTCCATTCCCATTAAAAATGGAAAAAGTGGGCTTCTTACATAAGGTCGATTCCTCACCAGGGTTCTATATATCCCACCATCTCTCTCCTGATGCAATGAATCACTCTTCAATAAAAGTTTATTGACAAACTACTATACATCAGGCACTATGGATACAGCCACGAGCAAAAACAACCTGGTCCCAGGCTTCATGACCTGGGAAGTTCCAGTCTACAGAGCTAGGGGAACCGTGATATCAAATAATCACATGAATAAACATAACATCAAAGTTGTGAAAAGTACTATGGCAGAGAGGTACATGACACTCAGATAGTGTTCAAGTCAGGGAATCTGACCAAGTCAGGAGGGTCAGAGAAGCAAGTAGCAGTTGAGGTGAGATCTGAAGGATATCCAGGAGATAAGTAGGATGGTAGGAGATGAATGAGCATTGTAAGCAGGAGAATAGCATGTACAAGGCACAGACCAAGAATAAAGATGAACTACATTGCTAGAGCAGAGAGAGCAAAGGGGAGTGTGGGGGAGATGATGCCGGAGAGTAGGTAGGGATTTGATGATGCAGGACTTTAAGTTAAAGGCAATGTTGGCAAGTACGGACTTTATCTTAAGAATACTGGGTGACCATTGGAGGACTTTTAAGTGAGGGGTGAAATTATCACATCTGTATTTTGCAAGTTATCAGATCAGCATTCTGGTTGCATTGTGTAAAACAAACAGCAGGGGGCAGAGTATATACTTGGCAGACTGGTTGGAAAAAGAGATAAAGGAAGATTAAGCTAGGATGATGGTGTAGTGGCAGAGATAGTCATAGATGGCTGCTGAACTGGTAGTGGGGAGACCAGGAAGTCCAGGGCCCAGGGTGAACTACGAACGTTCAAACATACAAGATGGGCAAGAAGGAGTGGAGGGACTCCCAAACATGATCAGGGGACTGCCAGTGTCCCCAGGGCAAATATACATGTTTGGCAAAGGGACAGAGTATTTCTGGTTCTTTCATTCAGTCATTCTCTAAATACATAACAAAATAACAAAAAATAAATAAAATTTTAAAATAACAAACATTGTCATTACTTGAACAATGTTGGCTGGAAACATTCTTTTTCATCTGACTTGCTTTCAGACAATTCACTGAGAGCTATAAATTTGTGGAAACCCTGCCACCCAAGGTTAGCAAACATGATTAGCGGAACACTGCTTAGAACTACTGAAAACTTAAAATGCACCAAGGTGCTTTATAATGAAAGGGTAGATGTGAGGCCGTAAGATCTCTTTTGTGAGGCACACCGTTACCCTCCACCCACAAAAACCACGGAAACGCTGTGGTGAAGGTGGGAAAATGCATCCAGGTGCACATCAGGGTGGAACCATCTGGTAGATCCCCAAGTTTGTGTCCCTGGAGCTGTGATGAGGGGTGTGGCCCAGAGATATCTGTTTGAACTATTCTAGTGAAAAATGAAAATGCATCGGGTTGCAGACAGAGCAGACCCTGCTACGTGAGTTTCCTAGAGTTGGGCACCCAACATGAACTGCACGGAATGGTCAAAAGGAGAGGGACAGACACAGACAGACACACCAGACAGCCGCTCACAGAAGGAGGCTCTGTGAGGCCCAGACGATGTCAAAAGCAAGGCAGAAAGGATTAGCCGAGGAAAGGAGGGAGATTTCTACTTAAGAAAACAGAAGGGTTTTGGTGAGCCAGCACCTAAGAGTCCAGCATCCATTCACATAAAGTGAAGACTGCTGGAAGCACAAGGAGAAACTGGCCAACCTACAGGCACAGAGGAAGACTTAACACCCTTCGAGAGATCTAGCAGCAGATCAGCTGTAAATGCTCCTTGAAACTGTGCATTGTTTTGAGTAGACCTCTGTCAAGGAGACTGACTGAGTGGGGCAAGAAGAGGCTGACTTAATTCTTGCCTCCTTCACCTCCTCCCCCAACCACCCCCCATGGAGCCCTGCACTTCACTCCATTCCAGGGTTTCCAAGACACCCGAGAAAGTACGTGGCAGGAGCAGCTCTGCCAACCCAAGGCCATGACAAATGACTTTCTGTACTGGCTGGAGGCCAGGGGCCAGTGTACTGATAAGAAAGCTCTTCCAGTAAAAGGAGTTGATTTACAGAGGAAGGAAGAGGGATCTGCATGAAAGTTTACCAACAAAGACCCTCACGTGCCTTCCACAGCCTCTCCCATAGCCATCTACTTTGTTTTTGATTCAGGAGTCCTGAGTAAGGAGAAGAGAGGGTGGCCCAATGGGAACCGTGGACCTCCATCCTGCAGCTGCTCCTGTCAGATGTTTCCCTAGAGCTCCGGCCACAGGCGCTGAGCACTGAAGGAAGCAGAAGCCAAGATGCCAAGACCAGGTCAGTTAATGCTCGTCTGTGCCCCCACGATGGCCAAGCTGTGGTTCTCAGCAAAGGACTCCTTGCCACCTCCACCATCTCCCTTGAGGAAGTGACGTCAATGTGGAAAAAAAAATCAGAGGACTACATTTTGATAACCCTGATCAGGGTATTGGGGCCGGCCCCCTGGCTTAGCGGTTAAGTGCGCGCTCTCCGCTACTGGCAGCCCAGGTTTGGATCTGGGCGCGCACCGACACACCGCTTCTCCGGCCATGCTGAGGCCGCGTCCCACATACAGCAACTAGAAGGATGTGCAGCTATGACATACAACTATCTACTGGGGCTTTGGGGAGAAAAAGGGGGAAAAAAAAGAGGAGGAGGATTGGCAATAGATGTTAGCTCAGGGCCGGTCTTCCTTAGCAAAAAAAGAGGAGGATTGGCATGGATGTTAGCTCACGGCTGATCTTCCTCACATACACACACACAAAAAAACAGAAAGCCGTGCATTATTTCACCCCACTCTATGGAGTTCCATGTCTGTCCACAAGTCTCCCTTGTATTTATCTGTACACGAAGGAATGCTTGTGCTGTGTATACTTGAGAGGACACATTTCTTTCCTTTAAAGATTTATGAGAAGACATTAGACAGAAACTCCGTCCTTCTCTGCCACCAAACCTAACAGTTGTTTGCATCTGTGACCATCCTCTCCTCCTTGCCTCCTCTATCCTCTTATTTGAGGCCATTGTTGGATCCACTGTATTCTTGATCCAATATCCTATCTCATTCCCTAGGGGACCTCAATATTACCCCTTTCTCCCCCTATATCTTCACCCTTTCTCTCTTCACAGGCTTCTTCCCATACACAAGACTACCACCTGAGCCAGGCACTGTCTGAGTACTCCACATTCCTCCAATCCCAACCAACGCAGGTCTCCCACACCAGGGTCAAGGTCCTGGTTGGAAACGAGTAAAATCCCTGACTTATGGGATGGGGAGAGCTGGGGGGATGATCATCAAAGTCCTGAAGAACTGTCCTCCTCCTCCCTTGTTGGAGATGATACAGAGACCTCTACCTCACAAGTTACATGCTCCATCAGGATCTATCCCCACTCTTCTCCTGGCCTCTAGACCTCTAACTACTCTTAAGTCACAGCATAGCCTAGCTGGGGACATGCCTCTGAAACACCCTCCACCTGCCCTCTAGGCAAAATAGTAAATAAAAAATAAGATCACCTCCCAGGAGGATGGCAGAAATTAATGCCAATCTTAAAGATAAAAAGGATGCAGGGGTGATGGTCCCCATCACATATCCATGTAATTCACCAGTATGGCCCCCAAAACCAGTCAGGCCCTGGAGAATGACAAACTACAGCATAATCAATCAAGTAGCTACCCAATTACAGCCACGGTTACTATAGTTTCTTTGGTAGAGGTGGGTTACTGTAGTCTCAGGTAGATGGTATGTGGCTATCAGTTTGGTGAATGTTCTGCTTTCCACTGCCATCAAAAGTATGGATCAGAGTTTGTAGGCACATGGAATGGACAATGGTATACATTAACAGTTCTGACCTAGGCTGCGTTAACTCTTTCAACCCTCTGTGATAATATGGTCAGAAGAAGTCTAGACCATCTGGTTACCCCTCAGAAAAATCACATTGATCCAGTTATATCCATGATGTCATGCTAATTGGATCAGATGAGCAGGAAGTGGCCAGTACAGTGGAGACCTTGGAAAGCTACATGCTCTCCAGAGAGTAGGAGATAAACCCTACAAAGATTCAGGAGCCTTCTACATCAGTAAAATTTTTAGGGTTCCAGTGGCCAGGGGTCTACCAGGAAATCCCATCCAAAATAAAAGATAAACTATTGTATCTTGCACTTCCCACCATGAAAAAGGAAGCCTAACACCTGGTAGGCCTCTTTGGGTTTTGTAGACAGCACGTTCCCACACAAGGGAAAACTGCTTTGGCCCATATTCAAGGTAACATAAAAGCCTGCCGCATTAGTTTGGGGCCCACAGCAGGAAAGGACTCTGTAGTAGGTCAAGGCTGGGCCAGCAGTCCTGCTGTTCCAGCCCTATGGTACATCTGGAATGGAGCACTGGCAAATTCAGAGGGCACAGGCAGGCTGCATGAGCTCCTCTACCTCACATCATACCGATGGTCATGTAAGGGGTTCCTGATGATCAGCTTCTGGGGAAGGAAAAAGCCTGAGTTCATTTGATTCCCACAACACTGCTATGAGACAGACAATAGTATTACACCCATTTTGCAGTTGCAGAAATGAGGCACAGAGAATGGGAATGAGTTGCTTGAGATTACACACCTGAAAGGCGGACAAGGCATCCTCAAACCTACATTCATTATTCCAAATACTCTACTGTTTCCACTGATCAGTTCTCTCCACTGAAAAAGCATGGTCTAGTTGTTATACTATGAGTCACCATTTACCACTCAGCAGACAATGGCCTCTTTTATAAGACCAACAGCTCACAGACCTGTTGAGAAGACACAAGTCTATGTATGTATGTATGTATGTATGTATGTGTGTGTGTGTGTGTGTTACTCATGGAGAAATGAAAATACACACGTTAAGTACATGGCAAAGAATGGCCTCTCAGATGATGGCTAATATAATAAACACACAAACCTAAGGAACAAAAAGTCATTTAAACACATAGGAGAGATACACTGACCTGAGTAAGATGTGGAATGTTGTTCTGGTCAATTCCAACTTGCTGAATTCACAAAAACAGGGTAAAAAAGTACACATTACAGCATGGAGTGGCAACAAAGAAAAGCAACTGTGAGCCCAAGAGCATGAGTGCTTTGCTGGGCTGCAACCTATCTGATCAAGAAAAACACATCAGGCTAAAGTATGCCATGGATATTTAAGTACAAATTTATATTTGTCCTAAGGATAAAACCACAAAAGATTGGCCAGATATTGAGTCTTTCCTGTTTTGAGAAGAGCTAAGCTGCATTTTGGATATCACACAAATGTGTTCTAATTTTTCAAGCAGTCAGAAATCAGCTACTATTCATATTGTTGTTCTCCTGTGGCTAATATGCCTTTTTGCTTTCGTTTTCAGAAGTTCAACTATTGCTTGTCTCAGGTGTGGTTCTCTTTTCTTTTCTTTTCTTTTTTTTTTGAGGAAGATTGGCCCTCAGCTAACATCTGTTGCCAATCTTCCTCTTTTTCTTTTTCTCCTCAAAGCTCCAGTACTTAGTTGTATATCGTAGTTGTAGGTCCTTCTAGCTCTTCTATGTGGGACGCCGCCTCAGCATGGCTTGATGAGCAGCGCATAGGTCTGTGCCTGGGGTTCTGAACCTGCCAACCCTGGGCCCCCGAAGCGGAACGTGCAAACATAACCACTATGCCACCGGGCCGGCCGCTAGGTCTTTGTATTTGTCCTGCTTGGGTTCCTCTGGGAGTCAGGGCGAATGTGGGGCTCACCTCATGTGTTTCCTTCTCTCATTGATCACAGAACTGTTCTACCTGTTATCCACTGCCTGAAAAGACTTATGTCATATATATTCTGGCCTAGTTTTACAGTTGTTTCTGGTGGGAAAGTAAGCTTGGTATCAGTTATCCTCATGGCTGCAAACAGAAATCCTTGTAAGATTGCTTTTGAGCACAAGTGTGCATTGGATGGTACATCTGAAGTACCTAATTTTAGTTTTTAGTTTTACTGTTTACAAAATAGTTAAAACTACTACCAGTTTCTGTGTGTTTGTGTGGTGGTGATGAGGGGAGGTATAGTTATACTGGATAATAAACTAATACAGAAAACAGCAGAAAAGCCTTGGATAGAAATAGATTTCTATACCTCTGCAACTTTTAGAAACTGTGCCAATCTGGTCGTTCTTCTGAGGAACTTGATGTAAATATCCAAACTTTCCTTGCATTGGTTCTTCCTCATGTCAAAATACTTGTCTATAAATAGAAAAAAAAATTACCATGAAGGAGCCAATATCTTAGCAATTTTCAAGTTTCACTCCGTTCTGAAGATTCTATTTTAAGCTGATTCTGGATATGATTTTAACTTGTTCAAAATAATTACAGTTTTAATCCAGTTATTTTTTGTTTTAACAAGCCACAACACTGCTCAATCTGTATAATCAACAGATTTTTATGGAGTAACCACTGCATGCCAAACACTGGTGCTGGGAATATATATAGAATTTAGTAGCATACACGGATAGTTTAGATAGTTTAGTTTAATTTCTACAACTTCTGGTCTGTAATCTTTTTGATTAACATCAAGTCTGAACCTCTCTGAGGGAAGGGGCTGTGTTTCCTATTCTTTTATAATGCTACAAATGTACTAGGTACTCCTTCAGTATAAGAAAAACCTCAAATTCTCATCAATGAAGTTTGGAGAACTCTTCTTATAAAATAAATCATCCATTAGGGCTAAATGATGACAGAAATTTCCTGAAGTGCCTAAGAAATACATGCCTGTATATAATGAATAACACTTACATATGTTACAGGCCCTATCTTGTTAGGAAAGTCAGAACTGTATTATTTGACTTTGGTGGAGTGGACCTTAATGTCTAATGTATAAATATGGCAACCCATGTTGATTCCCTGGTAAGTTTCCCAGAAATATCAGTTAGCACTTATATAAAAACTGAACAGTTCTGTTGCTAATTACCTAAAAAGTTTTTAACCAAAAAATCAATATAACGTCTCATTATTTAAAAATATATGACCCTGCAAAGATCTTCTGTTTTGAATCTAAAACAAAAACAAGTCTAAATGTAGAGATAAAAGATTTTTACAAATAATTTTTACCAGTTTATTTTTTACAAAGTAATGTGTATTCTTTAGCCTACCTAGCAGATTAAGGATCCCCTCATTATAGGCTGCGAAGAGGCGAAGAGAATCCTTAAAGAGGAGCATGAAAGCGGCATGTATTATACCATTAGTTAGTTCGTCTGAATTTGCCTGAAAATTAAATAAAAGAGTAATCAATTACCACTACAGTTTAAAATAATTCCTTCTCCCACTTACAGTTAAACAATGCCATATACCAATATTTTAGAAAATGATTTATAAAGCTCTTACATTAAAATTAAGAAGAGCATCAAACTGGATTTGAATAACTGGAAGTGTGTTCAGCAGCTCTTTAGTATTCATAGTTCTCATCATACCATTCGTCCTATAAAAGATAACAGAAATGCATAACACCAATAATTAAGAGTTTGAGACGTACTGTGACATCAGCATCTTGAAATAAAGCTGTGTTTTTGACAAACTACATATCAGAGCACATATGTATTTCAGTATTTCTTGCTTACAAACTAATGATATATACTGACCCTCTCTTGGTTTTGGTGATGTCAGATGCGATCAGTCTATACGCGAGCGACTTTTCATTCAAGTACCTGCTATATCGTCTGATGAAGGTCGACATAGTATAGCCTAAAAATGAAACATTTTTATTTTTTCCAATTTAACCAATATTAACCATTTACAATATATGTCAATAAATGCAAAGACTTATCATTCCACATTCACCCATATACCTCAATAATATCTTTTAAGCACAAAAGCTAGAATGGTCTTTATTAATCATCTAGTCCAACATTCCTCAAACTTTCTGTTAAAGATTATTTTTTTATTTCCTCAAAACCTTGCTATCACCTCATGATGTGGTGTTGATAGTGACATTCCTGAACAGAGGAAATAATTGAACTTTATCAGTTTCTTTCACATTTCAACAGAAACTACTGTAAATTCTTAGCATTTTCCTGAAACATCTCATTTCACTGTCACCATCCCTCTCTCACTCTCCCTCCACTCAGCAAATGACCTTATTCCTTACTTCATAGACAAAATGGAGAAAGAAAGGCCATGATGGAAACTCAACTCCTCACTACTCAACCTCCAAATGCACCTTGATTCATTTATTCAATTTATTTATTCATTCAACAATTGCTGACTGCCTACTATGAGCAGTGAACAAAACAGACAAAAATCCATACCCTTGTGGAACTGCCATTCCAATACGGATAGATAGACAAGCAAAAGAAAAGAAAAACACAGAGATGGTTAGTCGGTGAGAAGCAGAAAGAATAAGACTCAGGCAGAGAAGGGGCACAGGGGTATGCCATAACTTTTGGTAGACTGACCAAGGAAGGCCTCACTGAGTAAACACCTGAAGACTTCAATTTCCTCTATCTCTAGCACATATTCTGTTATTCTTAGTAAGCACTCAAATATGTGTTGTATCAATGAATTTAGAAAATATTTACCACTGTAAAATGTACAACACACCACACCCTTCATGATTTAGAACCACTTTTTTGACCAAGCATAGTTTTCAGAACTTTTCCCTCCTTCCCAAATAGAACTACTTCCATCAAAGAATCACCTTACCTTCCATGACACTTTCATCCAGAAAATTGTGTAAAGTAAACAAAGAGTTTCTAGATGCAAGATGTTCGATAAAACGCTGTCAAACAAATGTGCCAAATTCTAAAATTAGGTTCTGTCCACAAAAAGAGTGCATTAATGATTTTGTCATTGTGAATGCATATTTAACATAATTCTATCACACAGCTTCTATCTATTTCAGGAACATTGATTAAGGTGAGCACAAGCATATCCTGGGCTACCCAATAGAAGGATCTGCAGTGTTGTCAGCTCTCCTCTATATATATGACCCCCAAATAAACAAGGGGGTAGACATTAAAGCTCATGTGAATACACACTCTTTTACCCCAAGACTTTCTATGGAGCCATTCCCCAGTTTTTGATTTTGAGAGGTTTTAATTAATTACAGTCGTCCCTCAGTATCCATGGGGGATTGGTGCCAGAACACACCCCCCACCCTGTGGATACCAAAATCCACAGCTGCTCAAGTCCCTTATATAAAATAGCGTAGTGTATGCATATATCCTATGCACATCCTCTCGTATACTTTAAATCATCTCTAGATTAGTTATAATGCCTAATACAATGTAAATGCTATGTAAATAGCTATTATACTGTATTGTTTAGGGAATAATGACAAGAAAAAAAGTCTTTACATGTTCAGCACAACTATCGTAGGCCTTTTGATCCGCAATTGATTGAATCCACGGATGCAAAATGAACGAAGGGCCAACTGTATTTCAATAATTAATATTAACTTATTTAATAATTTAATTTACAGAAAAATAAAAAGAAGAATTAGATACATCTCTGTACCCCACTACCCAGAAATGACAACTGCTAACTTTTTGACATATCTGATTCAAGATTATTTTAAACATAAAAGGAATAAAATATTACAAATAAAGTTAAAAGTACGCTTTGCCCCATCCCTAAGTTCCATTTCCTTCTCCTACCTGGAAGTAACCGGTATCATAATTTTAACGTGCTATCTTTACATTTTATTTTCTTTATAGTTTCATATATATTTGTTCCATGGACAAATATTAAGTGTGTATTTTTTAATTTACATAAATGATATTGTACTCTAAATGTCATTCTGCCACTTTCTTCCTCTATTAGCATTGTTTTTGAGATCTACCTGTTGGTACACATCCCATCTAATGTTATATAGTATTTTGTTGTATAAACACACCTTGTTTTACTTATCTGTTCCCTACTGCTGGAAATTTAGGTGATTTCTACTTTTTAATTATTATAAATATGCTATGAGAAGTAGATTTGCTGGGTCACTGGGCTGGTGATTTTCAATTTTACTAAACATGTCTCAATGCTCTCCTCTCCACAG